TATTTTACGATGTATAATTTTCACATGGTCCAAAAAAAAACAAGTTTTTTTCTTAAAAAGGAAAATTTCCTAAAAAGGAATTTTATATATATTTTACTATAAAATTGATCATCGGGCATTACTTTTGCCGCCTACTGTACGTACGTACGTATGTATATATATAACTGATAACTGATATACATATGGTTTGCACATGCTAAATTAATCTATTGTATAGTATTTAGCGCTCAGATTTTAATTAGTTTTCTTTAAGTATGTAGTAAAAAATGTACTTGTATGATAGTAATGTGATTTAAAGTTATTATGATCTAGTGTTTAATTATGCAATACAGTTACTAGACTAAATTATACTAGTTATAGTAATAGGATAAGATTATTTTTGGTGCTAGCCAAATTAGATATAGCTATTATAATTAAACAAAATGATTAGAAAATTTTAAGTTCGATTCTTATAATTTAATAAAATTTTTTTGGTTTGTAATTTAACATATACTGGATTTTGATTGTTTAATTTAGCATAAAAAGTATATTATTTATTTAACATAAAGATAATATAAGATTTATAATATTTTAATACAGATAATAAAGATATAAAAAAAAATATATTCCAATAGATATTTTAAATGATGATCAGATATCAACATGAGCTTTTTAGATAAGAGATAATAAAAAACACGTTCATCTAATGAATGAACATGGTTTGTGTTTACTCTTTGTCAGAATCTTGAATTTCAGTAAATGAGTTAACAATATACTGTTTTTTTTCAGCATTGCGTGTAGTTCGAGTTGTAGTTTCTTTACCTTTCTTGCGATTACGTATAGAATTTTTTTGAGCAGTATTATTAGATTTTGACAGGTTTTCATCTTGGTTGGCTTCTTTCAATTTTGATTGATTTTCAAAATTAGCATTAACATGTTTGTCTTTTTTTGTTTGTACTTACAAACAGATCATCAAATTCTTCAGATCTTTTACGCTTTACTAAATGTGTATTGTCATCTAGTTGGTTACTTTGTTGTGTATTGTTATTTGGTTGGTTACTTTGTTGTGCATTTTTAATATTATTTGAGACAGGTGGTATAATATTATTATTTGGCTGGTTATCTTGGTAGGTATATTCGATATTACTTGAAGTAGATAGTGTAGAATAAGATGTATTTTCAGAACTCTTAGCCATACTTTGATGAAGATGTAAAAGCCTAGATCATATTGGGTTGGCTGATGGTAATGTTTCATTATTATCTGCACTGAGATCTTTTTTTAGTAATAAAATTAGTATTAATATAACTAATATTATTAGCATAAATATAAAATTCATTTTCAATAATTTCTATTTGTCCAACTATGAAAATATTTGATTCTTGTGATCTGATAGTAGTTTTGAGATAGCTCAATCATGGATTTGTATTTGAAAAAACCACTTTAGTGATATAGTTAATTTGTTGACTATTATAATCAGATATAGCTGTTTCGATAATAGAATCTTCAGTATTTTTAATTTCAGTTGTTACTCCTTGTGGAATTCCTATCAAAGAGACATTTAAAGGGTATTTATTTGAATCTAAAGCTTGATCAACAATTGTTAAGTGAGTTGAAGCAGAAATTATTATCTAAATATTAAAATCATTATTAGTTTTATTTTTAGATATTATATAAAATTTAAATATTTGTTGAAAATACTTTTGGTTTTGTGTTCTCGGAATAGTTTGCAATACAATCTTTCTGCCAACTGCATAATATTCACCTTTTCTAAAGGTTGCTTGAGATTCAGGATTACGATCATTAGGATTAGCCAGTACAAATAAAATCATTTCAATTTTATTATTTTCACATCCTGTTGGGTATGTTCCAATAGCCCATACTAAGAATATTTTGGCATCTTCTTTCTCATTTTTTTGTATACATTTAATTTTTACAATCGTGTTTGCATAACAGGGCATTATGGTATAAATTTTATTATATAGAATAGAATAGAAATTTTAACTAATTTTAACAAATGTTTAAAAAAAAAACAAAGAAGTTAAATGAATATATATACAAAAAAAAATTATAAAACCAAATTTATTAGTAAATAAAATCAACTACTTGTTTAGTTTATTGTAAATAAAATATTATAACATACAGCATTAAAAGTATTTAAATTAAATTATAAATATAATACATTATATAATTTAGTTACGAATATGATATACAGTATAATAAAAGGTCAAGTTTAGAAACTTGATTTAAAAGTAAAGTAATAATTTGATAGCATACAGTATGTGCATATATTTCAAGTTGGCAGAAGTTAATAGATCGAATGATAGTTAAGCAAGGATTAAGCTAGAAGCGATCTGGTTAAGCCCAGAAGTACAGCCACTGACTATAATTGGTTGAGAAGATAAACTGATCTCGTATAAATTAACACATGAAGACAGATATGCACAGATTATTAATAATTTCAATTAATTACCTATTTAAGCAACTGTCCAATTACTAAACAATTGCCTGTTGTTAGAGTATTATGATATAAGAAGAAGCATGATCCAGAAATATCTGCATCATTATCTGCAAAAATTAAGTTTCACACCAACCCATATAGAATTCTGCCATTTTATGACAACTTAAAGCTTCAATTCAAGGCTGGCCTGCTTTATGCAGTATGGAAAACCATTAGCTGATGCTACGCATTGCAATTTCGGCTGATGATGGCAATATCTGGTTCAATTATATTTGCTATTTCTGGGAGCATATCCCATCTCAGTTTATACATTAATCGCACTGATGTATGCTACAATTTCTCAATAAAAAATTACACAATAAAGTTTAATATCTAGCATTATCAGCTAGACTAAATGCTTTTTGCTATATTAAAAAAATTTTAGACATCATAGAACGTACAAATTTAATATTGTGATCAAAAATTCATAATGTGTATACAAAATAGTTGTTGAACAGGATTTTAAGTCATGCGTAAGTTATACAAATAAAACCTGTAAATCAAGTTAACTTTTCAAGATCAGGTATTAAAAAATCGAACCTATATAATGATATAATAAAACCTGCTGACTTTAAAAGCATGCTTACATACAATGCCATTTCTAGACCAACAGAGTTAATTTTAATAAAAAAAAAGGGGAATTTCGATACAACTTCTATTTATGTAATTTGCTATAACAGTGTATTATTTTAGAAGCTCTTTTTAGAAGCTTATAAGGATTGATATTATATGTTAAATTGAGAGATGGTTTTTTTTTGCATGACACAAGGTTTTTTCGCTATAAAACAACAGGCCAATCAAAATATCCAGCTGATTGAATTGCGATTTGAAAACTGTGTAGTGTTTATTAGATTTGTCTAAGTTACACAATATAAATACAGTCTTCTTCCTCTATAATCACCTCCTTTTATGTTCATTGTATCACTCGCTAGTGCGCCTTCTCTCCATTTCTGGTATGTTCACTGCTTCTCTCACATCGAGTGCCAACTCTCCATATTGGGAGGCTTCTTTCTGAGAACTTCCTTATATGCTGATCTTCTATTCACATGGGCTTAGCCATAGGGCTTCACGTACATTCATATGCTTTCGTAGATTACAGAGTTTTTTGGCTCCAGCTAGAATTGAACCGTTGGCTTTGTCTGTGGAGGGAGGGTGCCTAGACCACTAGGCTATGGGGACCCATCCCATGTAGTTAATTTCTGAATGTAGTATTATATTTTGTTAAAGTTATATATCATACTTTGGAAAATTATATTACAGTTGATAATTTAAAAATTGGCATCTTATTTAGCTGTAGTAAAAGATATAAGCGAAAGGTTGTACCTATTTATTAGTCAAGTTTTTGGTTAGACTTAATAATAACATATGCGAAAGGTTGTCAAATGCTCTAGCACATGTATCGGTTAAACAGTGACTTCAAAGAACTAGCATTTCTACTTATATAATTTATCATTTTAAGACACATTCATAATCATTTTGCTTGCATTATTTTCTTAGCTGTGTATATGTTATATATATAAAGGATGCAAAACCATTATATGTCAATCTTTACTAAATTTCTATATTTATACTAACGTGATGCTCTGAATCTATAAATGTAAAAGGTTTAGTCCAGTTTGACTTGACTCCAAAAGTCGAGTCTTTATTTAGTTTAGCCCCAAGTCTGACTTGTGATCTTACACATGCATCTAGTATATTTGGCATAAAAAATGTGCATATTCACAATTTTATTGCTATATTAGATGCACATTGTGAGCATGGATGACTGATCTGGAATTACAAAATATGCTTTATAAAAAAGAATCTCTTGAAATTATTCAGAAAATTATGAAAATATTTGATTTTTTATTCAGAAATCGACTCTGTTTTAAGCATTTAAAGGCTGTTTATTGGATAAATGCATTTTTTATACATTTTTATATGATGATTTTCAATCAAAAAATTTCTATTTTTTACATTTCATACAAACTTCAATATGAAAACAGTACAAACATTAACCCTGATCAGAAAATCGACTCTATTCTGAACATTGTTTTGGACAATGCCTACAATAATTGACAAGCTTTTTTTATAAAGATAGGTAATACAGATATCAACCAACACAACTACTATCTTAGATCAATACACTAAACAATTAAACTCTATCTAAACCTAATATTGGAAGGCTACGAAAGAGGAGTGGAAGACTTGGTCCGAGTTATTAGGGTCAAATAGAGCTCTAGATTATGTTACGAAGCTCTAAGTTAGGATCACTGAATTAGACTACTAATTTTATACGAATTTGACTTATCGGGAGGGGGAGGGGGTAATTAGAGTGAAATGTTAAAGTGGGGATAGTTGACTCTAATTGGGTCAAACTCTGCTAAGTTATCTTTTATTAAAGTGAAAAAATAAATAAATCACAAAATTAATTTTCTAAAGATAGTAAACTATGTTATTTTAAAGTTTTTAAATTAAGTATTTTCTATGTATTTGTACGCATATATATCAATATATATAGTATGCTATTATTTAATTAAAATGTGATTTTATAAAGGGATAATATATATATAAATATATTTTATTTTTATTATA